GCCTTTGCATGGTTAGCCTGGCATAGTAAGGGTAAATTCCGGTGTACACGGCGTCAAGTCGTTTCTCTAGCCCGCGAGTCCGGAATGTCCATGTCACTGAAAGTAAACGTGAAATTAAACACGAGTTGAACCTAGAGTCTCACAGCCCGCCAGATATAATGTTGTATACGAGGTGTACACTTTTCATTCGGGCCGGTAGAAGGGAGCTTTTGTTCGCTTTTGCTAGACTTAAGAGCGACTTTCAAGAGCGATGCACAACTCTACACTACAATTTCAAATACCAACAAGCTAGAATTGTATTAACCCTGAGTAGATTTGTATAGGTTATTTTAACGTCTAGGCTATGTCTAAAGACACTTAGCAGACGCGCACATGAAAAAAGAAGCAACAAAAACATATAAATGAAGCCATTGCAGACTGACAACATTTATGCAGCCAAGACACATCGTTATTCTCTGCATCAGTAAGTAACCTGGCGGCTGGAGCAACGACGATAATGACACAGCATTTAACTCTTCAATAAGTACAACTGGACTAAACAAAAACACAAACAGGCTCCGCTACCATCATCTAACACTCTGAAAGTCAATACAGTACCGGTTCTAATAGTAGTTACCAGTCTCAATGACAACTTTGTGGTGCGGGATTTGGGGGGGGGGGCGGGTAGGTGAAGTTCATGGCTGGCTTACATTCGGAACTGATAGCAATCTACAACTCTTTGAAGCAAATCCACACAGTTTCACAGATGCATGTGATGGTTGGCACATCTAAAGTTGCACCTGAGATATTCATGAAAATTTGTACATTACATCCAATGACTGATCACAGTGTTGTATTTCTTATTTATTACATTTCTGCTATCTTTATAAAAAGTAGAGTATCAGTATGTTCTTTTTGTTTTAAATGAAACTGTTGGAGCTGAGACTGGTGCATGCTCTCAGAGAATGTGATGTTAGATTTTAAGAAAAAAAAAGTCAAAATGCAGTCCGTCATGGGATGTGTGGCTGAGTAACATAAATTTTTGGCTACTTATAAAGGCTGTTCGAGGTCAAATCCCGAGTCAAGTTAAACTATGTTTGTTTAGTGCCTGTCACGAGTCGAGTCTGTGACCTATTTCGACCAGTTTTTAGAAGCAAGTTCAAACCAGTGCAAGTGTCCCGCGTAAACAAGTTAATTTTAGGTATCCAATCAAAGAAAGAGGTTAAGGGAAAAAAATAGCACACGTCAGCTTCTAGAAGGTCAAAGTTACTAAAATAATTATCGGAGAAGGTTCCATGATTCTGGAACGTACTATCAAAGAAAGTATAAATTAGGGGAAAGTCAGTTAGACGGGGTCATCGCATACTAGTAGTTCTTGTAGAGCGATGGTTCTCGCTCAGTCCTCGGTTAGTAATGGTTATAAGTTTTGTGATATTAGCGGGTCCATTAGTTAAAGTTTTATAAGTTGAAGTTGAAGTTATACTAAGTGAAGTTTCATGTATCTTTAAGTTTTATTTATGAAGTATCAAGTCAAGTTGTTATTGAATTGAGAAGTCATTTTATGTGAAAGTTGAAGAAGTTATTAAAGAAGGTTTAAGAAAATACAGAGAGATATTTCTTTCTTCATTTCATATGAATTTATCATTTTATTAATACAATCCACGGCCTAATCGTCACAGTGCCTAAAAGCAGCATGCAATCCTTGTCCCTGATACCCCGCACAGTTTCAACAAAGATTTGAACAGAACGCACTGAGAAGAAATGAGCAGGAACGAAGCGCTATACAAAGTAATGCTGCAAGATGTCTTCCTGGCAAACCACACTAGTCAGCTATTACATCTTCTAAAAGGACGACTTTTGCAGATAGACATTTTTATAATGAAAATGCATTTTTTCCAAAATGCTGTTGTTTAATAGTATATTTTGCATACACAGGGTGTCCCCAAAAGAAAGTGTTTATTCTGAATGAAGAAAGATATGATTCTGTTTAATGATATATTGAAAGATAGTTTCTGATGACATGAATTTATTGTTTATTTAATAAAATAACGACAAATAGGGTTTGTTATCAGGTTTATTTGAAATTACTAAGTCACATTATTATCTCTGCTTTTTCTACTTTGCTAGAAATAGAAGCGTACTAGGCCATACAAATGTGACAAATTTTATGGTGACTATTTTATTTTTAATGACTTGGTAGGTTACTAAAACTATATTACATTAATACAATACATTTTTCTGTTACTTATTAAAAATAATTTATAACTGATTAACATATTCAAATTGAAATGGTTGTCTTGTATGTCATTACCTCATATTTTTTTTTATCCACAGGTACATTTGCTGCTGTTGTAATTAAACAAAAACTCGAAATGACGTCAAATATTAGTGAAGCAAATTTCCTAATGGTCAAGAAAAATGTAATTAATTCTACAGTAGTTGAATTTCTTATCACGTTTGACGTTATGGTATGCGCTGTGTTGATCAGCATGGTCGAAATCGATGCAAATGTCATCAACATTTTGAACTTTCAAAAACAAGGTCTACTGGACAGCGTGAATGTGACCCTAACAGCATTAGCTGTCAGTGATATAGGAGCTCTCTTCTTTCAGCTGTTGGTCAACATTCTTTTTAACCCTCTATGGAGAAGAGTCCAACTTCCATTCTCTTCTTCCTCTGTTCTGGCCATGGTATTTTTCTACCCGCAAGGCTACTTTATCCGAGTGAATGATTTTATTACAGCCTTTGCCGCCTTTGAAAGATGTCTCTGTGTGGTGCTGCCCATGGACATCAAAAGAATCATCACCAGAAATGTCGCTATTGTCGCCAACACTATTTTTTACATCGTACTTTTATTGTACTTATATCCAGAACATTCAGTGGTGTACATGGACTTTATGAACATCCCGGATTTAAATCGCACTGTTGACCATATTTTTCAGTGAAGATTTCGAAATGGTCATGACCTATGCAAACATTACCAATTACTTTTTTATTCCTTATCTGACATTTTTTGTTCTGATTATTTGCACAGTTATTATAGTGATACAATTAAAGTCATAGTCAAAGTGGAGACAATCTGTGACAGGAAACAAGACAACAGGAGTTTCCAAAAAAGAGTTATCTTCAAAAGACAAAAAGGTGGTGATCATGTTGACAGTGGTATCTGTCATGTATGTCACGTGTCTGACACCGCAGTGTGTTTTAACAGCTGTCGTTGGTTTCATTCAAGATTTAAAAGTAGATGGACCATCGTGGGACACTTTCTTGGTGCCTTATTCTTTCTCGTCCCCATTGGAGACCATCAACTGTAGCGTGTCTATCATAGTCTACTACAAAATGAGTACCAAATATAGAGAGACATCGCACACCTGGCCTGACGTTGTTTAAGAGGAAAACGTAATTTTTACAATGCCTCTATTTAAGTCACTCCTTCATGGAACCTGGATCCAGGAACCTGGAAAAGCTGATCTCAAAAACGAATCTAACGATTTTCCTAGAAATTTAACAGTTGATGTGTATCGCTGAGCAAAGAATAATTAGCTCGTTAGCGACACGGGGAAAACTCGAGTTTGAAAGTTATAATCTAAGATAGGGTTCATTGGTTTTGAGTCTATCATTCATTAATTTTTTATACAAAAACAATAAGTTGCATAAAAGGAGGTTTTGTCTTTAAAAAAAAGTATTTTCAGTGTTTTTCTTGTTCATTTAGCATTCTTATTTCTTTAGTTACAGGAATAACTTCCAATGACTTCGATTGTACAGTACTTCATATTATCGATTATAGCTTTAACTTTGCATATGCCTTTCTACTTGCATCGAGCCGTATTCCACAGAACAGACCAACGACACACTTCCCAGTGTCGCTCCAGGTCTCCCAAAGGTGAACCAAGTCGTACTCAAGTCTACCGAATCAGAGCCGTACACATCTTACATCGTCTGTATCGACTGTAACAGCTCAAGTCCACTCTAGTTCGCTGTATAGACTTTAACGACAGTAGTCCACTCCAGTTAACTCTACCCTAGTTAACTTGCATCGAGTCGTACACATCTCTCTTCTACTGTCTCGCACAGTAGACAACAGTAACCAAGACTGTTCCGACGATTCTACCTACGACTCCATACGACTCACTCACGACTGGCTTTCACATTAACTTTCTGGCTTATATAGAGTCCCTAATCGCTCCTCCAAAGTTGCACAAACACTGCTGGAACATCTGGAACAACACGTGAGGAAACGTCACATCCTGTCTTTGTTTATACATGTAGATTCCAGAGAACACTCGCTGCTGTTTCAACTCGCCGGGGTCACACGTTGACCTCTACCTATTACTGTTCATTTGTAACACTAAATATATACTTTCAATGTGGATGCTGTAAAATTTACTTTCAATTGTAGGTTTTAAAAATCCATTTAATAGAAATAGAAAATAAAGTATAACCGCAAAAATTGCATGTTTATAAAGGTTGTTCAATCTTTCTACTACTTTATCGTATCTTCAAACAGATGACATGTTATTCTGTTTGTTAATAAGTTTGTGTAATGATAACTTACGTTTACCGAATAACGGGGTTCCTAGTCACACGCCTGATTTTGTAGTTCGACAGAAACTAAGGTAGCACTAGCAATGCCAAACAAGTTACATTGGAGTTTAGTTGATAGGTGATTTAATTATGTACATTGACAGTTTAACTTTTCTCTATCGTTTCAATTAAAAAAAAAGATAAGAAAATATAATTAACATATTTTTACATTTGTTTAAAAGTATTGTTTATATTAAGTTTTCATATTGAAATAGCTAATTTTAAATACAAGCGTTTCATATTACAAAAGGCATTCAACAAAAAAAAATACAGTGTTTTATACAACAAAATTGTTAAGATAGTTCAATTTTATTCGTATTTTAAAAATCTACTATAGTTCTCAAATACAACTGAATATATGTCTAAAAAAATGTAAGAACGTAAACTGTACACTGGACATAACGAAAAGCAAGCATATAAGCGGAAAGTTTAATAAACAGTGCCAGACCTTGGTTTGTCTAACTTTTATAACAACACAACTATTGAAAAGTCTAGTAATACGCTAATCACTCTCTACACATTTCAAATATTTCAAGTTGCTGTAAGTATTTGTGCCTATGGAACTCTCTCTGCCTACAGGGTTCTAACTAATATTATCAACACGATCATTTTTGTAAAGCTCTCACTGAAAGACACCATGACTCTCAGTCTGTTTGCCTTATCAGTCACGGACTTTAGCGTCTCACTCTTACAACTAGTGATGTCATTAATCTATATTATTGAATTTATCCTACCAGTTCAATAGACCTATGGGCTATTTTCTTCCTCTATCTAGGGTGGTCCACTTACGCAGGATACCTTATATCCTGCTGGATTACGCCATGATAACAGTTGAGAGGTGTATCTGTGTAATCGCAACGTTTACGGTAAGAAAATACATTTTCTACTAGATCTCGATGTCTGTGTGTTATTTTCTGTATTTATGTAATACACACAGGAGCTAGTTATATTACAAAGCCTATGCAGTGGGTACGAGTACCTGCAGAGGATGCAGATCCCAACGCAACATCAGCTGCTCAATTTTACTATACGGCCACGCTGGCTGACTTTTCCTACGAAGCTGAGTCGATTCTAGACCTTGTCGCAGGCATGATTTTATTTCTGTCATCGCAAGCGATACTCACTGTGTGCTCTTTGTGGATGACCTACTCACTAAAGGCGTCATCAAAAGTACGAACGTATTGCAAAGTACCAAAAACATATCTTGAGGCACCTACTCTGAAAGGATCTCAGCTGACTGTGCATAAAAGAAGACTTATTAAACTAGTCTTATCTTTGGCAGGCCTCCAGATACTTTGCCATTTTTTAAGGCTGGGAGTTACAATACTTTACAATGTTATGGATGGAGTCTTTAGGGGCCCCTGCATTTTGAGATGCGACATCATCACATGAGATAATGTAGTTAATAAATATGTAAGTCTAAGTGTGGAATACATTCAAAATATTTACTAATTTACATACCCAAAACAACATTAGAAAGATAACATGACATTGGCTTAATATTTAATGTAAGTAAAAATTTGGACATTTAATTGGGGGCCCGGGAGGATTTTAAAATTTAGACCCCCTTCCCAATACCCTACTGAAATGAATAAGAAATGTTAATACTTAGGCCACCTAAGGGCAGGCATTTTTCTTTTCCAAGTGTGGAGAATGTTGCTTCAATCTTAATGAAATCATTGCCTCACTTGGAAATCATCTTTTATCAAGTGTGAAGCCTATGGATATATCTAAATAAAAATAGAATTTTATTAAAAAAAACATATCAGTGGCTTTATTATTTATTCATGAAACCACCAAATAAATTTGAACTTATAATACTATTCTCATATTCTAGAGTAGGCCTGCTTTGTTACATCCGAAGATACATAACATTGAACTAAAGATTGTATGCGGCTTTTATTTTAACAAGTCAAACTTATATTGACTGTGTAATATTAATACCGATTATATATTAAAATGAATTGTGTTATAATTATTGGTAGAAGAAATCTCGTGAACGATTGAGGTATATAATGATTATTTATTCTTAAAATAAATAAAACTACAGTTTTATTCTCCCGAAATATGTATGTATAGTGCTTTCAAAAAGGTACTAATGGATGGTAATATTTTCCTAATCTTTAGCCCTTCGTCTATTCATTCAATGACGGTATTGTTTTTCTGATGGATATAATAAGTAGTCAGAATAAAAACATTAAGTTATTTAAAATAGTACAGGTTAAACTGAATACATACATTAAATATAAAAATCAAACATTTTAAAATTGGCATCCAAGAAATTATTACAAAAAGAAATAGTATCTGAAAGAAGATATATGAAAAAAGATGCAACACCGACATTAATATATGAGAATTCAAAATTTTAATTTTGACATAGGCAAAAACATTTTTAAAAACAATAAACAAATTATTAGCAGATTAACATTAGAGTACTGGTTATGATTTGTTATGTAGTATCCTTAAAAAAAAATTATAAAAAATAAAGAGATATATGTTGGGTTAAAAATGATTGTAACTTTAAAAGTACACAAATACATTTTATTAAATCGTGGTTAATTTTTTTAATAAAATTTAAAAGCAACATATATTATATTTGCATGCACGCTATGTTACTAAATATTATATAAGTTTTTGTATCCTAAAAGTATTCAAACGATTAAAATGATTTTGGTTTGAGGAAAAACAAAATATAACAATTTATTAAAATAAGTATTCATGCATATAAGGGTGACAAATTAGAATCAGGTCCCATGTGAAAATCCAACAACTTCCATCTCCAAAATGACATGACATATCTGACAAAAATGAACATTAAAAAAAACCTGGCCTGGAACAGTTGGAAGCAATGAAAGTAGACTGGCACTTCTAGAAGCTAAACTCGAGTGATGAGTGGGAAAATAAGCTATATATATATATATATATATATATATATATATATATATATATATATATATATATATATATATATATATATATATATATATATATATATATTAACGTTTTTAGCATCAGGAATGTTAGGCAGAGCCTTTCACTTTGTTCAGTTACATTTGAGACGACCTGGGACTCATATCAATGGTAGGCAGACATCATCTTCAAACATCGCGTAAAATCTGTAACGATGCATAAAAAAAAAAGGTCTAGAATGTCAATAAAACAATATTTGGAAAGAAAAGAATGAATATATTTTCGAGGCATTTATTAAGTCTCCCTGTGTTAAATTTTTGCCACTATATAAATAATAAATATATAAAGGTTTTTACAAAAATTACTTATAAGGGCAGCAATCAGTATAAGTTATAGTTCCTGATGAAATAGATATTTCTCAAATTAAAGTATCAACTTTATTGAAATATACATTTAGACTGAGAACATAATAAATCACTGAGTTTTTCGACTGTTGACGTTGCCAAACAGAGAAGAAGTTAATTACACTCCGAAATTATTATTTGAAGATTCACCATTTGAAATCGTCATGTTAAGTTGTGCATCGTACTTGAAACCCTAACGCCAGCAAAAGCGAACAAGAGCTCTCTTCTACCGGCCTGAATGAACGGAGCACATCTCTGCATACGCCGTTCTGTCTGACGGGGGGAGGTGAGACTCGGGGTTAAATTCAAAGTTTAGTTTTGCATTCACTTCCGGTGGACACGGACACACCAGACTTGTGGACTAGAGTTCTTTTGTGCACCATAATGGTCTGGGCTTTAGATTCTAAAGACGCGCTATATTGGTGTCATTGCTCTGCTTGTTTTTGCCTTGAGATGGAGTTCTCTGTTGTGGTTTTCTTCCTCACTGTTGGGTAAGTTAGTTTATTTTGCGTTATTCTTCGCGGGGTAGTTTTGAAATCGTTATTAATATAATATTGTAATGACGGTCTCGAGGAATGTGTTTTTTCTTGTTTAGGGACACAGGCTTGGGACTCTGTTGTAGTCAAGCCTGATTTGTTTTGGGTAAGGTCTGTGCATCCATGGCATTGTGAATGATTGCGTGTGGGCTTCGCGAGCCCTGATCAAATTGTAGCACCGAGCTTAAGGTGTGCTATATTTTATTTGCATATTATTTATAGTTTGTCTTTGCCATTGTAAATACTATTGACCTTCATTCATCATTCATGTCATAATATTCATACATTCATCAAATTGTTGAACGTACACTCTTGTTGTTAACTCATGTAAGTTAACTGTTGTTATTAATATTGTTCATGTTGAACAATAGTTATTCAGTTGAATGACATGTATTCAATATTCAGTAAGCCATAGTTCAAATTGCCATTACTCTTTGCTTTTATTTATACCAGTGGTCTTCAACGGGGGCAATATCGCCCCCTAGGGAGGCGTTTTCGAGTTTTTGGGGGGCGCTGAGAGCCAAAGTGGCGGTAGGGGGGCGCTGGGCGCAAAATGAGGGGAGGTACGGGGGCGTTGGGCATAAAGGCGGAAAGAAGAAACAAAACAAATTTTAAAATTCTTCAATATTAAAGCTGGGAAACTAAATATAGAAAAATTATAGTTAACTTGCTTCTAATTTAAGAACAGAAACAGCGTTAAAAATTGAGTTCGGGAATCCCATTTTCTGTTTTTAATTTCTTACTCTTTTGCTATCATTGGAGAGTATTTATTGTCCTTTGAACTTTCGCTTATAAACGTTTAAGATTTGATAAACAAAGTAGGTAATACGCCTTTTAGATTATAGTTTATTTTAAATATGTTAATATATTGATATGTAAATGTTAATTGCAAAAAACATTAAAGGTAACATTTAATAGAATAATTTAACTTTTTAAAAACAAAAAATATTGATAAAATGTTGTTACGAAAACTTACTGGTATGTCATGTAATATTTCCTTGAGATTTAGTGAATTGCCACTAGAAAAAAGTAAATTCTACTTTGATGGCATTTTCAGATGAGGTTATGAAACCAAGTCAGCTTCACAAACATATAGCGATATCCAAAAATAATTTAAGAATATTCATAAACAATTCTAAAAATCTACAATGAAAACAATATTAAAAACAAAAAAACGGCAAAGCAGGATATGTTTTAATGGCTTCTTAGAAAAATGTATAGCTTTTTAAAAATTCTTTTGATATTGTTGAAAAATTGATTAAAACTAAAATTATTTTAAAACATTAAAGACTTTTTTTCTATTAGAGATGGTTAGAGTGGTTGGACGCCACAATGACTTCATAAGTAATATAGAATAAAGAACAAATCTATTCACTATTCACCTTGTGAGTTCTGATACACAAGAAAAGTTTAGCCCGCAATTTCATTTCTATTTGAATCTAATGATAAAACTAAATAAAATACAAACCCAAGCCAAAAATAAGCGCATCTTTCAAAAGTTTTGTGAAACAGATGATGAAAAAGATGTTAGACTCTTGTTGTAAACTAAAGTTCGCTGGATTTCGAAAGGGGTTTGTTAATTGTTATGGCTCGTTTTTTTTAGCTCTTAAATAATTATTTTTTTTGAGAAACGGGAAGATTCAACAGGTGGCGATGACTTAAAGCAGGCTAAAAAAAATTGTTTTACATGGTAGGCATCTCACACAAATAAATGAAAGGAACCTCCGACTGCTAGGAAAGAGATTGACTTTTATTGATAATATCATTTTCTCTTTTATCGAGATATTAAAT